GAAATTCTTTATTAAATCTATTTTGAGAGGAACCAAATGCCTTCAAAATCAATTTATTATCAATGATGTGTTTGAATTTGAGAAACGAGGAAAAGCAAAAGTTTGCCAGGATTGCTTAAAGGTTCGAAGTTCCTTCATTTTTCTTGGAGTTATTTGCAATTTCCCTGTGTTTATCTATCCTGCCTAACAAACACTAAAAAATAGAAATTTTCCCTTCAGAAATACTCAGCATAAACAAATCAAAAGGATGGATGTCAGCATCAAGATGGAGAAACCAAACGCATATTTTTAAATTATTTGATTTAATAAATCAAATCTCACTTTAAGTGATATTCCCAAACAAGAATCCTGAATTAAGTCCTTCTATAACACCAAACTTCATTCCAGAATAGAGAGTATTCTGATGTTTGTATGATTAATATTTGTTAAAATTAAAAAAAAAAAAAAACAGGACTATACTAAATCAAGGTAAAGGCTTTAAGAAACAATGAAAAAACTATTTCTTAAGGATATAAACCAATTCTATATATTCTAACTGGGAATAAGACTTTCATAAAGTTATAAAGGAAATTTTTATATTGTTTTGCCCATTTTTAAAAAAATTTTATAAGCGTTATTTTTACATATTTTTATGCATTTTTCCATCTCGCTTGCAATCCCCTTGGGTTTCCCATCACCAAATCACCCATGTGCCATCACCATAGTCTAGTGCGTTTCCCTTCCCCCCAATGTTTTTTATCCCATTCTCCACTCCACCCACACAAAATATCTCTGGTATAAAACTGTTCATCACGTTTTGCCCATTTTTAATGGAAAAAAAAATACAATTCAGAATAAATTAACTATGGGCACGCATATTAATCAACATACTACATAAATTCTAATTTGGATTATATTTCTGCTGAATGAATCACTTCTAAATTATAGGTAAATGCATATATATATGATCAATATTTTAAGTACAAATCCAAAGCTATTTTTATCATTTCACATTCAAGCTATATTTCTGAAGTCTTTAGAAATATTACAAATTCTCTCACTAGTTAAGAATATAAGTAACAGTATTAAACTTGTTCCAAGCTAACTAAATTGTTTCACAGTGTTTACTTATACTATACAAGCCCTGGAAAAAGATTGAGAGTTTTCCTAAACCCACGTATCCCATCTGGCCTGTTCATTGCTGTACTCATAACCTAGCCCACACTATGTGGTAATTAATTTTAGTAAAATGAAGTGATTATTCATCTAATTAATTTGTTTGGATATAATTAATTGCTCGTTTAATTAAGGTATAAGTTAAATTAGTCCCACAATCTACTATACTTTCAAATTTTAATCATTATATAGTACATGATAGGGAAAACTCCCATGCCGACAAGGAAAAAAAAAAGTATGACTTCTGTCTTATTCATTACTGACTTAAACAACCAGCTATACTAGAATAATAGGTTTACTGCAATAGTCTCTTTAGCAGTAGCTAATATTCATGATTAATATTCATATGCTTAAATTAAAATCTTAGTCACACATATGAAGTTTCAATCAGATTGGTTTACCTACCATATAAAGGAATGAAAATGGACCACTACCTATAGCACACAAAAAAGACTTACTTGAAATGTTACTGAGACTTGAACATAAGACCTAAAACCAAAAAATTCCTATCAGAAAAAACATTTGGCAATCTCCTTGACATTATTTTGATGATGATACTTTGGATCAAAGTATCAAAAACCAACAACAACGAAAGCAAAAATAAACAAGTAGGATGACATCAACTAGAATGCTTCTGCATAGCAAAGGAAATCAACAAAATGAAATGGCAAACTTCTGAATGGGAAAAATATCTGCAAGACATATATATGATAAGGAGTTTATATCCAAGATGTATAAAGCACTCATTCAACTCAATAGTAAAAGTCCAAGTCAATTTAAAATATGGGTTGAGAATACAGACATTTTACAAACACAACATTCAGAGGACCAACAGACACATATGGAGGGTTCCATATCTGGCCTTCCCTGGTGGCGCAGTAGGTTAAAGCACAGCACTAAGAAGCTAATGCCACTTCAGTATGAATTCAATCCCCGCCTGCCCTGGGAGGTGATCCACATGGCTCAGCAGACCTCTCCTGACCCGCCCACTGCTCCCCTCAGCAGTGTACTTTG